CTTCATGTCTCTTCTACATCAACACGTGTCCCCTCTTCTTCATGTCTCTTCTACATCAACATGTGTCCCCTCTTCTTCATGTCTCTTCTACATCAACATGTGTCCCCTCTTCTTCATGTCTCTTCTACATCAACACGTGTCCCCTCTTCTTCATGTCTCTTCTACATCAACACGTGTCCCCTCTTCTTCATGTCTCTTCTACATCAACAGGTGTCCCCTCTTCTTCATGTCTCTTCTACATCAACATGTGTCCCCTCTTCTTCATGTCTCTTCTACATCAACACGTGTCCCCTCTTCTTCATGTCTCTTCTACATCAACATGTGTCCCCTCTTCTTCATGTCTCTTCTACATCAACATGTGTCCCCTCTTCTTCATGTCTCTTCTACATCAACACGTGTCCCCTCTTCTTCATGTCTCTTCTACATCAACACGTGTCCCCTCTTCTTCATGTCTCTTCTACATCAACATGTGTCCCCTCTTCTTCATGTCTCTTCTACATCAACATGTGTCCCCTCTTCTTCATGTCTCTTCTAAATCAACATGTGTCCCTCTTCTTCATGTCTCTTCTACATCAACATGTGTCCCTCTTCTTCATGTCTCTTCTACATCAACATGTGTCCCCTCTTCTTCATGTCTCTTCTACATCAACATGTGTCCCCTCTTCTTCATGTCTCTTCTACATCAACATGTGTCCCCTCTTCTTCATGTCTCTTCTACATCAACATGTGTCCCCTCTTCTTCATGTCTCTTCTACATCAACATGTGTCCCCTCTTCTTCATGTCTCTTCTACATCAACATGTGTCCCCTCTTCTTCATGTCTCTTCTACATCAACATGTGTCCCCTCTTCTTCATGTCTCTTCTTCATCAACATGTGTCCCCTCTTCTTCATGTCTCTTCTACATCAACATGTGTCCCCTCTTCTTCATGTCTCTTCTACATCAACATGTGTCCCCTCTTCTCCATGTCTCTTCTACATCAACATGTGTCCCCTCTTCTTCATGTCTCTTCTACATCAACATGTGACCCCTCTTCTTCATGTCTCTTCTACATCAACATGTGTCCCCTCTGTGTAAAGAGACTCTGAAAGTTACAGGAACAAAGATTCTCTCTCTTTTTGATCCATTTCTATAAAAACCTGTCTGAAAATGAGCTGATCAGATTTTGGCCACTTTATGATGTCATAACGATGTTTTGTCTTGTGTAACCATTAGCCAATCAGCAACCAAGGTACCCCCCCCCCCCCCCCCCTTATCACCTGAATCTCCTCTAGAGCACCATTGTGTTCTTTGTAACCAAATCTCTCTCAGAGGGGCGTGGGGAGGGGCTCCTTATTTTCATCTAAAGTAACACACAGAGAATCAGCACTTATGAAACAGGGCTGAAACAGAGGGGATTATGGGTAATGCTGCAATGATCTGTTTGGTGTTTGGAGCCAAACACTTCAGAGACATGTTCTGTATATATCTGAGACCTATAATATATTGATGAAAAACAGTATAATAGGGGACCTTGTTTCTAAACATTGAGGACTAGGATCCAATGGGCTTTGTTCTGAATAGTCTTTCTGGCTGATCGAGGTTCTTAGTTGTTAATACCCCTAAGTGGCAGCCATGATATGAGTCTTCAGAATTATCTAAATGCTAAGGAAAGGCGCCTCACTGTTTCTGTTTGCTTATATCCTTTGGCATAGGGTACACTGGATCATCCTTTACCAAATAAAAGCACATTATGAAGCCCTACAACTCCTTGCTTTCAGGAGCAGGATTTGGGCTGAAGCTAGCAGTACGAGTGCCTCAACTTCAAAGACTGTTTATAAGACTTAGAGGTAGTCAGGGTGACGTCATCCATTGGATTGTAGACTACTGTTATGAAGCGGCGAGATATTATTTAAGGTTGTTGCCATCTTGATTTACGGTTATGACAGTTACAGGTTTTAGCAACTTAGGCAGCGCCCCAAAGCACCTCTGCTTAATCGTCTATTCTACTCTAAATTGGACCATCATTTACCATCATGCTGTATTACATGGACTCAAAACTAGAGATTGAGACCATAAACGTATACCTAAAGGTGATAAATCTAGGGCGAAGTACCGTCTTTTCACATAGACTTCTATACAATCTGGCGACCTTTTGCCAACAGTTTTGTTGTGTCCTGCTGGTCTTTGAAAGAAAGCAGGTTTAAAGCTCCTCCGTATTGGATTTGCTTTTCAGATCCAGAGGGTTTTTGCCTTTTTGTTTTGATGGAATATAAGCGAGCTAAAAATGTTCCCCATTCAGCTGACTTTACTCGTATCTGAGTATAACTTATTCATAATATTTTGCACACGGTCAAAGGGGAAGCAGTGAGCCTTCTCTGGGTTTCTGAGTGACTCTGTTTATCTGCCTCTCTCGTCCCTATATAAAGCGATGGGTTATATATGTAGACGGTAGACCGTTATATATAGTGACTGTATTTCATGTGTTGTGTTTATGTGACGCTTGTCCTCCATCTCACAGATCAGGTCACCTTAGCAGCCATCAGGTCCAGTTATGATCTCCGCCCTCTCTCTGTCCTGTGTTGGTCTGTCTGAAGGGTCCACTGCTTTCATTAACTGTGTGTGTGTGTGTGTGTGTGTGTGTGTGTGTGTGTGTGTGTGTGTGTGTGTGTGTGTGTGTGTGTGTGTGTGTGTGTGTGTGTGTGTGTGTGTGTGTGTGTGTGTGTGTGTGTACGTCAGGAAGTCATCTGATAAGTTGTTTGTTTACGAGCACCGCACCATCAATGCATCCAGGATAAAAACCTCCTCTGACATGCGTAGCCGGATAATCAAGTGTTCCAACGAGCAGAGATGAACATGTGCCAGAACTCATCCGTCGTGCTGTCGTTGTTGCAGATTGTTCAGTTCTGCATGTCTAAAGAGTGTGTGTCGAACTGCAGCCATTCGAGCCCTTTGATCAGAGAGGCGTTCAGCCAGGAAAGGTGGCGCTAAATGAAAACGCGGGCTTAGCTAAAAGAGCTCTCGTCACCGATGATTGCGAGGGAAAAATATCTACAGACATCAATTACTGAGATGTGGATTCTCGCTGTAACAAGCAGGAGAGGATTTCTCAGTAACCACAACATCCAAGAAGAATTCCCAGTGACAGACTAATTTGTGGAAGCGAAGCCGGAGCGCTCTACATAATGTGTTGCTGTGCTGTTCACGTTGAAAAAAGCAGAGCAGAAAAACCAAGTCGTTCTCTGCCTTTGCTTTTAAAAAGTGTTGCGTTTGCTCTGCTGCAGATTAGTCACCACTGGAGCTTGCTGTGCCAGATTTATCTTTAAAGCATTGAAAAATGGCCTTGGTGGAATTAAACAAGTCGATCAATAGCAGTTTCAAGCTCTGCATTCAGCACATGGCAGGTACAGGATGGTCAGTCGAACCACATATTGACATTTGAGAGTTTTACAGTAACAATAGGTCGACCTATATTTAATTTCTTACAAAACACCCACGTGTTGGCAATGAACTCCAGAATAAAGAAGGTCAATTATTCAATATAAGACCCAAAGCAAAGATACGTTAAATACTCTATGTTCTGCCTTGATGCCTTTACACATGGGGTGAGAAAAGAACAACACAAAAATGTGATATACTCAACTGCAGATATATGTCTAGCACTTTTGTTTTTTTACAAACAGAAGTAGTGATCTGATATGCACTGGTTCAGAGGATGAACTTTGGGTCAAACTAAAATACAGCCGTTTCACTGTCTTATGAAACTCTAACCAGTGAGAACATGACTGGTTGATGCCCTCATTCACGATGCAAACACCCCCAAGAAAATCAACCTGGTTCCTAAAAAAATGATGTTGCTTTGTGTATGAAAATATTGATTACAAAAACACAGTATAAAGAAATATAAACATGATAAATAATCACCAGAAAATAAATCCCCTGTTGTGTGTTGGCCTGATATCCATTTCCCTTTTTTTTTAGAAATGACTAATCAAACAAATGATGTTTGGAGCAACATTAAGAGAGCATTATTATTGGACGACTCTGCAAAACCCCTTGATTATGTCACTAACAAATGTGAAACTTCAACAGATTGTTCAACATGTTTAGAGTCCAGGGAAAGATCTTTAAGTAAACATTACCTGTTGGATTGTCCTCCTGGGACACTAGCTCCAATATGTAAAGTCAGATGTGTTGCACACAGTTTCTACTATAGATCAGCCTGATAACCAAATATCCAGCTGTGGTTTGCTCCCATCAAAACAACAAGTACTATCTGAGTTTGCAAGTCAAATGAGTTTTATTTATATCTGCCAAAACCACATTTGCCTCAGAGGATCCTCCATCCCACGCTTCAAATATAGAAAAAAAACTCCACCAAGAGAAAGATAAACAAACTTTTAACAACTGTTGCTACACCTGCTTTGCATCATACTCCTACGTAGAAATGACAGCTGAGGCTCCTGGAAATGACAGTATTTACAGCCATACATCATAGTAACAGTGTAAAGCAATGCTAAATGCTAACATCAGAATGCTAATATTCTCTCAATGAAAAGGCTAACGTGCTATTGTCTGGTTTAATGTTGACCTGGTTAGATTAGCGTGTGAGCATGCTAACATTTGAGTCAGCACTAACTTTCAAATGTTAACCTTATGATGGGGAAAGATGACACACACACACACACACACACACACACACACACACACACACACACACACACACACACACATATCTCTCAGCAAATGTAAGGGTCTACTGGTACTATCTGGGGTGTGTGTGTGTGTGTGTGTGTGTGTGTGTGTGTGTGTGTGTGTGTGTGTGTGTGTGTGTGTGTGTGTGTGTGTGTGTGTGTTTATAGTGATCTAACAGAGGGCAGGTCGTCTCAACAACCATCACATCTCACTATCAGTTTCTCTTCTCCCCTTTTCTTTCTGTCTCACTCCCACTCTCCTTCACTCCCTCCCACTTGGTCTCTCTCACACACACCCCATAACACACACGTGCAGAAGGTCACTCACCTTGGTCTTGGTGAGACGACAACCCATTCTGACTTTTCCCTTTTCCTCGACAGACACAAATTAGAAGGAGAGTGAGACGAGGATAAAAAATGGAGGGATAAAGGATTTAAAAAAAGAAAATAGGTAAGAAAGGAAGATGAAGAGGACAGAAAAGGGACAACAAACAACAAGAGTCCAAAAGAGATCAAGACAATAGAAAGCTAGAGAGTTTGCTGAGCCTTGTTTGTCCACCAGCTCACATTTCCAAACTCTGATGACCCACAATCCCCGGCTAATCAGCTGTCCTCCCGGGCTGCAGAGGAGACTACAGCTCCCATGATGCCGCGGTGTAAACAGCAGCAGTAATAGCAGTCGGTGGGCAGCAGGTCCATCCCATTAAACCTCTCTGTCTCTCCTCAAGAATCAGGAATAAACACAGGCGAGCGAAAAAGCATCAGCAGAGAGAGAGAGAGAGGCTGCTGACACACTGAAGGAGATGAAGAGAGGAGGAGGAAGAGGAGGAGGAGGTGAGAGAAGAGCCTTCCTCATCTGACAGTTTCTTCTTCTTCTTCTTCTTCTTTCTTATTCTCCTGTCACACTCTCCCTCTCTCTCTCTCTGTATCTCTACAGCTCTGCTCCAGTCGGCCAATCACAGAGCCCGGATGCAAGAAGGATGGAGGCGGATGCTCTGATTGGCTGAGAGCAGCATCAGTTTAAACATCCATTCAGGGTTTTTCTCTCCTTCACCTATCTCTCTCTCTCTCTCTCTCTTTTTTTTTTATCCGTCCTCCTTTTTTCTCCCGTCTCTGTTTCTGAACACTCTGCCTTTTTCTCTCGTCACCATCTGTCTCAAAATGCCTTCCTCCTCCTGTGCTTCACTCTCCGTCTGTGCACCCAGCCACGACTGATGCTGCTATTATTCTGTGTGTGCTTGTGTGTGTGTGTGTGTGTCCGTCCGTGTGTGTGTGTGTGTGTGTGTGTGTCTGTGCTTGTGTCGCTCAGGGTTGACAAGATGTGCGATTTTTATGTGAAATAAGAGACATGTTATGCATCAGTAACACTGAGTGTGCCTCTACACACTTTGTACGTGTGGCTGATAAATGTACTAGTGCTGTGTATTTAGGACAATCCAGGGTGGGGGAAAACATTCAGTAAATGCAATACTTGTATTCATCCTAAGTGACACGTGTCTCAATGAAACAAAAATATAGGAATACAAGACAAAAACACTGAAGAATATAAAGTGAACACCTGCTCTGAGGCAGACAAGGGAGGGACAGACAACATGCTGGAGATGCTGCGGGAACGCGAAAGCGAATCATCACCATGTGTTTTGGGCTTGCTCTGGGATTCAGACTTACTGGACGATGATCAGAGACGGCATAGAAAAAGTTTTGAAGGTTAAGTTGGATTATTCTTTTCGAGTTTTATATCTGGGCATGTCTCCACCACAGCTTCTTGGCTTCTCCAAAATGTATATGTTTAAGATAACGTTGGTTGCCAGTAAAAAAGCCATCACAAAAAAATTGCTATGTACAGTAGAGACCCTCCAACACCATCGGACTGGTTTAATGGGATGCTCGACATTTCTGTGATGGAAAAACTGACATTTTCTTTAAGACTTAAGACGGATCTATGTGATAAATGTTGGGAAGGTTGGATCGAGTTTATCAGCCCTTATAGAACAGATTTTATTTAAAAGAAAGTTACGTAGATTGTGACCTGCCCTCTTCATGCCACACAGACTCTCACCCTTATTTGTATTTTTAAAAAAGAAGTTCATTGTATTTTGTTTTTATGTATATATTGTTTCTTTCTTTTGTCCGTTGCTATTCATTTACCTGTTTATAAAAAAAGGATAGCAAAATGTGAAATGTATAACAAAACTTCAAGTTGAATGAACAACTGGCTTTAGGGTTAAAGGTAATTAATTTGGTTACGAAAATATCTGAAAATCTGTAAACACATTACTAAACTGTGCACACATAGTTTAGATAATAATTTAGAAGTAAGACTTTAAGCATACGCGTGACATTTAGAATAAAAGTGGGGAATTATGTTCATATTTAACAGGATTTAATAGTCAGTGCAGTTAATAACAGGTTTCTGAAAATGAGTTAAATACCTGATCTGCATAGAAGAATGTAATTAAGGGGTAAAGATGTTAGCCGTTGATTGTTTAAACACAAATGATATCTTTAAATACATCTCCTGACCTTTCCTTTAACCTCACATATGACTTATTAGACTTGCACACTGTATAATTTATACCCAGCTCCAAGTGGCTGATTGTCTATTATGTGCAGCTAACAGCACCGGCCGACACTGATTATTAATCAGCGCTTTATTTAATGGGGGCAAAGAAAACACTCTAACTAGGGTAGGCAGTTTATTTTCGGCATCATCTTGCAAACCTTTCGTTAAAAAAACCTGCATTTTGTCAGTCAAGTATTGGGCTTTTATGCTTTTTTTTTAATACTATATATTATAAAATGCTTACGCACTTAGCACATAACTCGAGCTAAAATACCCTTATTACTTATCAGATCAAAACATAAACAAGATATCGATTAGCAAACTGAGATTCCACAGATTCCAGAAGTATAAGTATCATCATCACTGAGCGATCAGAACTCGCGACAGGGGAAGCAAACACAAGCATCACAATACGTAGCAAACACGCAAATAGCCTTACCTTTGCGGTTGTTCTGATCAAAAGTTGTGTTCAATGGCATCAAAACGATAAAAACGCTGCTGAAGGTTAATCCAATGGTTAATCCAATGTGTCTGTGTCACTTTGAAATGATTACTGATAATGCATTTTCGTATACTAGTTTGAGCCTAGGTTTCAGTTTTCAGAGCGTAACATAGCTTTCGACTGCGTGCGCGTCACTCTCACTCCTCAATAGAGTGGCGAAGTCAAGCCCATCTACTTCCAGTCCATGGGACCTTATTTGGAAAAAAATATGTATTGAAGTCAATGGAGAGAGAAAGCTTATCTTTCGATCCCGTTTGAATTGTGCCACGAATTATACATATGATGTTTGTCAATCTTAAAAAATAATTTCCATGTAAAAAAAGTCACAGTTTGTCGTAAAACTGTTGAAATATAAGACTATGAAAAATACGCAACTGCTAAATATAAGAGATAGCTAAGATAACTTTAACAAGATGCCTGTGTGCTTAGTACCAGGTTGTTATACCAACAATGGGTCTTGCTCGTGTCTTGGCTGGATCAAGTTAGCTACCTAGCTAGTAGCAAGCACGTTAGTTAGCATTACAGCCTTAGCCTTGTCATTTTTATTAGCCTTAACATCAAGTAACATCAAGTAACCCAAAAATGTTAAACAGTAAGAGTAGTAGTCATATTTCGTGAACCCTTCGAAGAGTAGCCTACTGTCACACCGGTGTGATAATTCTATAATACACCATTTGATTTAAGCCCGGGGGAGACATGCTAACGCTACATTAGCATCGGCGATCTTTTTCTACTTCACGCTATCTGCACAAATGGTTGACATTAAACATTAAAAAGACTAGGCAGTTCAGAGAGAATCAAAGGAAGGCAGGCAGCTTTGCATGACATTCTTCTGGACGTATTTCATTGTGGTGATAGTGAGGGTAGTTAATTCCTTGTTTAGCAAGACAGTAGTGACGGCCATCTTGGTGACGTGTGTTGTTGTGGGAGACCAGAGATGTAGTTCATTCAGCGTTTCACACAAAAAAATGTGTTACTTCACAGTTTTACGACATTTTTTTTTTTTGAGTGGCAAAATTATCTTTTAAATTGACAAACATCATATGTGTAATTCGTGAAAAACGGGATCGAAAGATAATCTTTCGCTCTCCATTGACTTCAATAAATAATTGTTCCGAGATAAGGGCCGTTTCTTAATCGTGAGGAAACTGGCTTCCAAGCCAATATTTCAAGGATACTACGTCATCGAGTGCCGCCGAAGGACTGTTCCAATCTCCAGCATACTTGGAATTCCACCGAGGCCGCGTCCTTGGTTTGGGGGTAATTTCGAGGCTGCACACGGGTAGACTTCGCGTCCTTCAAATCTCCACAATGCTTTGAGCACGGACCAATTTCCCCAAATCTGTGGCGGAAAATGTAAGGCAGGGCCTCTCATATGACGCACACCTGCACACTTGCTAGCCTGTTCCACTCTTCGTTTTCCGATTGCCAGGAAGGATTCTTGCCTAGCTTCTGAAGGAAGACATGTGCTACCAAGCAAGCATCCTCGCGATTGACGGCCAAGGTCCCATGGAGGTCCACCGGAAGGGGAGGGACTTCGCCACTCTATGGTAACGTGTGTGTATGTGGAACTTCCCCCGTCGATTCTATTGGCTCTAACGGATCAAAACAGGTGTCAATCATCAAAATCGACCAATGGGTTCCAGAGAAACGGCAAATCCACCCAAATGACCCCAAAGGTGGGTTTTTTTGTGCTAAATCTCTCTAAAAAGGTTAAATGTCACCTGTTTTGCATCAATCTTGATACAGGGTACTTATTATATGTTATAGTTTGGATTCCTAAAGCTTTTAGTCTACCATCCCATCATTCAAGGGTGGTTTTCACTATAAGTCATGTTTTTTTCTTTTGGACTGAAACTATAATTTACATTTTTTTACTATGTTCAATCTGAATTTACTTTAAAATAGAAAAATTCTGTATTGATTCTGACTCGTCTACATCCAACTCACAGGTTTTTCATTGCTTTGAGAAAAAAGATTATTAATGTACCCCTTTTAGAAGGGAAGATATGGTCATTTGTTCTGGGAATGTCATTTTCGAGCCTGAGGACTGAAAAACAGGCTCGGGGCTTAACCCTTCATGTCAGATTTAAAGCCTTAGACGGGTTACATCTGAGAGATTAGATTCTGAATAACTTTAGTTTGGACCTTTAGTCAATAGGAGTCAATGAATTAAAAGAAGCATTAAAAAGGTGGCTAATATACGAATTGATTTAGTGCTTTCAGAAAAAATCAAGACTGATACTTAAACCATGGGGAGATCAAAAATAAAGATTCATCTGACCTGATTTACAGTCTTACAGGAAGTCTCAAATATAAAAAAGTGCTCCATTAATTTACCACGACGATGACAATAATTGTCTTTGTGATGAGTTTCCTCCTGAGAGAAGAATGAGGGTTGATTACAGAAGAGTGAGAGGAAAATAGAGAGAGTTGTATCAGTCAATGTAAACTCTGCTGACTACAGGGAGACCTGAACACACTTAGACAAGCTTACATATTAACATATATGCATACATGTGAACTCACTCACTGAAAACAAAATAAGTTACACACATTCTGAACCAGAAGGGGCCATATTACTCTCATCTCCAGTTTCATATCAGTATGTAGTGTCTCTACTGGGACATGTCTCCATGCTTTAATGTTCAAAAAGCTCTTTTTTTTCTCATACTGCCTGTGCTGCAGCACCTCTTTTCACCCTCTGTCTGAAACCAGAGCCCAGTCTGCTCTGATTGGTTAGCTGGTCGGCTCTGTTGTGATTGGTCAACCGCTTAGAGATGTCCCGCCCCTTAG